TCATTCCTTCTATTCTATTCTTAGCTGAGCAGCTCTCTGCAACTTCTCTTATTATTCTATATATATTCTATATATATTCTATATATTCTATATATTCTATATGTATTCTATTATTATTCTATTATTATTATTCTTATTATTCTATATATATATATTATATTATTCTATTCTATTATTCTATATTCTATTCTATTCTATATTCTATTATTCTATTATTATTCTATATATATATATATATATATTCTATATATATATGTTATATATGTTATAATGTATATGTATATATGTATATAACATATATATACATATATGTTATATATATGTATATATATATGTCATATATGTTATATATATGTTATAATGTATTATATATTATATTATAAATATAATATATATATATATTATATTATATATTTTAGTTATAATGTATTATATATCACATATGAATAAATCCAGCCTTCTGATCAAGAAACAAGATTCTCGTCCTTCTCTCACCACAGTGACCGTCTAAAGCCACTGCAATAGGAGATTTTTTCAGAAATGGCTTAGAAGGCAGCTGTGAGGAGCAGATTCTCACAGCCTGTTTCTGTGAACAGCAGAGGTTCTCAGGTTGTTTTTAATTACAAGTAAAAATGACAAACATGAAGGCCTTGAGAACCTTGCACACCAGAGTTCTCAGGCAGCTTTCTCATAACAAGTAGATATTCTGTCTTTGGCTGTTTTGGGAAAGCAAAAATAATTTTGAGAACCCAAATCTTGGTGTTGGAAACATAAGGAGGGGTTGGTGTGTTATGTCTGATTACTATATATAATATATTATATATATATATATATATATATATATACATATATATATATATAATATTATATATATATATTATATATACATTATATATATATATATTATATATTATATATAATATATTATATATAATATTATATATTGCATGTATAATATATACTATATATACTATATATAATATAGTATATATATTATATAAATTCATAAATTTATAATTTATAATTTATAAATTTAATTTATAATTAAATTTATTTAATTATAAATAATTAATAATTATTAATATGCATAATTAAGTTCATGCATATTGCAATGAACATATTGCAATTAAGTTCATTGCAATATGCATGAACTTAATTAACACGGTTATAAAAAGTGATTGATGGAGTGAATAAACNGGAGGATTTTGGACCAAACCTCAGGAGCTTTTTCTGATGGGAACTGAACCCAGGTTTTGGGTTAAAGAAAACCCAAATGGTTTTTCTAAAGGAACCAAAGAAAACCTTTTTTTGTTTTTTTTAACCCTAAAATGAAGAAGATTTTTCTTCTTTATTTTCTATAAGAAAATGCTGAAGGGAAATGAAAGCAAAGCCCTCCAGAAGCAGCAAATAATGACAAGAGTGATGTGGAAATAAAGGGAGGAAATAAAGGGGGGAAATAAAGGAAATAAAGGGAGGAAATAAAGGGGGGAAATAAAGGGAATAAAGGGAATAAAAGGGGGAAATAAAGGGGGGAAATAAAGGAAATAAAGGGAGGAAATAAATGAAGGAAATAAAGGGAATAAAGGGGGGAAATAAAGGGGGAAATAAAGGGAATAAAGGGGGGAAATAAAGGGAATAAAGGGGGAAAATAAAGGGAATAAAGGCAGGAAATAAAGGGGGGAAATAAAGGGAGGAAATAAAGGGGGGAAATAAAGGGAATAAAGGGAGGAAATAAAGGGAGGAAATAAAGGAAATAAAGGGAATAAAGGGGGGAAATAAAGGGAATAAAGGGGGAAAATAAAGGGGGGAAATAAAGGAAGGAAATAAAGGGAATAAAGGGGGGAAATAAAAGGGAATAAAGGGGGGAATAAAGGAAGTAAAGGGGGGAAATAAAGGGAATAAAAGGAGGAAATAAAGGAAGGAAATAAAGGGAATAAAGGGGGGAAATAAAGGCTGGGTCCTCCAAATCCAAACCCAATCCCAACCCCTGTGTCCTCCAAATCCAAATTCAAATCCAAATCCAATCCCTGTGTCCCTCCAAGCCCTGGATCCCTCAGCTCCAGCTCCTGTGTCCTCCAAATCCAACCCTTGGGTGCTCCAAATCCAAATCCGAATCCAAATCCAATTCCTGTGTCCTCCAAATCCAAATCCAAATCCAGCCCCTGTGTCCTCCAAATCCAAATTCAAATCCAAATCCAACCCCTGTGTCCATCCAACCCCTGTGTTCTTCAAATCCAACCCCTGGGTTCCTCCAAATCCAAACCCTTGGTCCTCCAAATCCAAATGCAAATCCAAATCTGAATCCAAATCCAATCCCTTGGTCCTCCAAATCCAAATCCAGCCCCTGTGTCCTCCAAATCCAAATCCAAATCCCATCCCTGTGTCCTCTAAATCCAAATTCAAATCCCATTCCTGTGTCCTCTAAATCCAAATCCAGTCCTTGGGTCCCCACATCCAACCCCTGTGTCCTCCAAATCTAAATCCAAATTCAAATCCAAATCCAACCCCTGTGTCACTCCAAGCCCTGGATCCCTCAGCTCCAGCTCCTGTGTCCTCCAAATCCAAATTCAAATCCAATTCCTGTGTCTTCCAAATCCAAATTCAAATCCAATTCCTGTGTCCTCTAAATCCAAATCCAGTCCTTGGGTCCCCACATCCAACCCCTGTGTCCTTCAAATCCAACCCCTGGGTTCCTCCAAATCCAAATCCAAATCCAAATCCAAATCCAATCCCTTGGTCCTCCAAATCCAAATTCAGCCCCTGTGTCCTCCAAATCCAAATTCAAATCCAATTCCTGTGTCCTCCAAATCCAAATCCAATCCCTGTGTCCTCCAAATAATCCAGTCCTTGGGTCCCCACATCCAACCCCTGTGTCCTTCAAATCCAACTCCTGTGTCCTCCAAATCCAAATCCAAATTCAAATCCAAATCCAGCCCCTGTGTCCCTTCAAGCCCTGGATCCCTCAGCTCCAGCTCCTGTGTCCTCCAAATCCAACCCTTGGTCCTCCAAATCCAAATCCAAATCCAATTCCTGTGTCCTCTAAATCCAAATCCAAATTCAAATCCAATTCCTGTGTCCTCCAAATCCAAATCCATCCCTGTGTCCCCCAGCCCCTCCAAGCCCTGGCTCTCTCAGCCCCTCAGCAATGAAATCCCCCCAGAGCAGAGCCCGAAGCCCCCCGGACCATTCCCAAGGGTTCTCCTGGCCCAGGGCAGTGAGCAGAGGGAGAGCAGGGTGGGAGTGGGCCCAGAGACCCCTCCTGAGGGGAATTTCGGGAACCGTTTCCTTCACTTCTTCCTGCGGATTTTGGGTTTCTTGACGGGCCTCAGGTAGGGGTTGTCGATGACGTTCTCGTCGCCGTTCCTGCTGCCCGCCAGGGAGCTGCTCTGCTGCAGCACCGAGCTGTTCTCCTTCTCGGCCCCCGCCTCGTCCTGCCACGGAAAAAACACCACAAAAACCACCGAGTCAGCTGTTGGGGATTGTCACAGACATTTTTTCATAGAAATCCTTTCTTTCACATTTTGTCCATCTCCTGGGAAGCAGAGCCCCAGAAGAAG